TATCAAAATCTCGAAAATTATCAATCATTGTAATTAATAAATTATAAAATGTTCAGTTTTTATAGCGAAGGATTACAAATTCAACACAAAGGTTCTCATAAATAGTTCATACTATAACCAAAAAATCTAAAAAATATACGAACACACTTATTTTTTACAGACATTTTAATTTCAAATTTAGACAAAATTTCATATTTAAACCAAGAATTACGATTTTAGTTATTTTGTTGTGATTGAATAATATTATTCGTGGGTACTTGAAACTTCTAAAGTGTACTATTATATATCTATGATAGTATCACGGTTTTTGTTGATGTATAACGCGTTATAAGTATCTAATGGATATTGTGATATGATTAGTTTGGAATTTATTATAGGTACCTATTATAGGTCAATTTTTTGTTTAATACCATAGATATGTTTATAATATTATGTCTTATACATTAACTGACATACCGTCTCCGCTCAGAATCGTTTTTCTTATACAATGATATTATATAGTTGAATTCAAATTTAATATCATCCATTATACAGTGACTCACTTGTAACCTACTGTACAGCAGAGCGACACCCACTTGCCCACCTTTTTAGTTTTATTTCTATGAATGTCAATAAAATTTTATTTGTTTGCTAAAAAATCTTGACAATTTAATACAAGGCTCCTAATATATTGTTAAAATTATATTGTAAATTGTTTTAAAGTATTTAAAGTTCAAATATTGACAAAATATGTTAAAATGACGAAAATGTGCAAATTATTTTGGGCTAGAAATTCATAAATTTTTTTATTTTTAAATCCAAGGGTTGAAAATGTAATACAAGATTCCTCAAATGTTTGTCTACTTTTTTCTTAAAAAAAAAAATGTCAACAAGAAAGTCAATTCTTATGAGCATTTAAAGATCATAATTTTACAGTTTTATATGTGGGCTAAGCCCTCTCTCGGATTTCCACCAATGCCACCAAAAAAAAAAAAAAATATTATTGCTTCGCTCAAATTTGAAGAACGTTTTACAAAGCCAGATCTTATAATTAATACTAACTAACATTAATCACCACAATCACAGTGTCCCTTATACTCTTGAATTTTTTTTTTATAACTTTTTTTTTATAGCTCTACTATGAGAACCCTTGCCACCCAATCTTATTGTTTATCTTCCTTGAAATTTACTTAATTTACATTCAGAGTAGATTGTAAAATATATTATCAATAAAACGATACTAAAAAAAACAAAAAATGTATTTTATGTTCAAATTTAAAATATTAATGATTAGAATATAATAGTATTACTATTATAAGTGATTATTACCAATGACAGAGATTAGTAGATCGCAGATGTGGCTACTATTTCTTTGTAACCACCCACATCTCCACACTGCCACCCCCACAAAAAAGTATACATTCTAAAAATGTATAAATAAAACATACTCAGTATAGAAAATTAAAAATAAATAAAGCGTCTCCAGAGTTCTGGAAGGTGATGTCAATATGTCAACCTCATGATAATACTTTCAGATGCCAGCAATTAATGTAGAAAAGACTTTAGATGATAGTCATTTTTGGACCATATCTTGGCGGCCACCTAAAACAAAACACTTGAGGTGTGGCTATAGCCCCTCAAGCTAACTCCTTGCGCACGCCTATCTATAGCTTGATAACATCCTTTATTAGAATAATTAAATTTAAAACAATAATAATTGTTATAGTTATTATTATTGTTTGATTATATTTAGTTTTAACTTTTATTATTTAAAACCACAGATTCAAACCATAGTTTGTCATAATAAATGTAAATATGTAGCCATGAGTATTAATAGAGATATAATAATTGAAGATAAACATAACCCTTTCAAGCTGTAGAAGTGTGACCTAGTTTTATACAACCTTGATGTTGATTTCTATAATCAATTTACCTAACCTAATAAGCAGTTACATTACGACCACCTACTCCCCCATAAGTATTTTAATGGATTAAAATTAAACATTAAAATATATCAAATCTAATATAAACTACTAAGTAGTTAAAGTGTAATTAGTCTTATAAGTTATAATGTCTTATTAATATTTATATGGGCTCATTAAAAACAAATTACACATGTCCACACTTACCATAAAATAATCTATACAAGCTGGTATACAAATATTAAACATTTTGTTATATAATATAATACGGGTAGTCATTAGTATACAACTAATTTTGACAGTCTATATGGAAGTGTTTTTATCATTTCATAGTTCTGTTCAGATTCAAGATTGAATTAGCAAAATTGGGGAATTACTGAAGACTGAAATGAGTAATGACAAACACCACGATGGTTAATCATTAATTCATGGTTAAAATTAATAATATTATCATGCACATTAAGGTAGTACATAATCCTATAATAGGTACAAATTACAAATGCAATCAAAATTTGTATTATAATATGGTGAAATGAAATAACCTTCAACTTGGTCATAACCCATAAATAAAAAAAATACTTAATATTGATGATATTATATATTTTAAACTCAATTCTTAAAATTAGTGATTCATTAATCATCAAAAATTATTATATTGGTGAATATACCTAATGTTGTAACTTATAAATATTTTCTATAATTATATTTTTAGAGTTATGATAATTTGGCCTTTTAAATGTTGAAATTATTTATAAACAGCTGTAAAGTCTAAAATGTTTATGAAAACTTAAGAAATGCCTACCTATTCCAGGGGCGTAGCGTGCATGTAAGCACTGTAAGCACTGCTTACACATTAAATGAAAGAAAAAATAAATTTGATCAATCACGACTAATAGGTACATAATAAATGATTTTTAAAATTTTAATTTTATTTATAAAATATTTAAGTTATAGCTGGTAGTGGTTTTTGTTATTGTTAATTTGTGTCGTACGCTGTCTACTGATTACCAACTACCTATTAAGAAAATCATCGATTGTAGGTCTATTTTTAATCCATTCTGTATTATGTTAACTGCATAATCATAATACGATATACAGTGTAACACATTCTGAAATTGCTTACGCGCAACTGTTGTTTTCGAATAGTCTATAATGCCATAGTGGGGGTCACGTATTTAACTAGCGTTTGTAAGCGCATTTGATTTTGCTTACGCGAGAAACAAGGAGCGACCAGTACGTAGCCCGACGCGTTGTAGACTGAGGTCGTTTTTACGTACACTGTCACTGTCATTCGCCTAATAGACTTTTGAAGTATTTATACTTCAATTTCTTTATTTTCTCGAATTTGATTTGTACAACTAGTATATTTTTAAAAATATTAAAAACTTTAAAATGATAACATTTTTTTATACATAATATAAAATTAGGTATTTAGGTATAGTACCTATATTCTAATCACTTTTTAAAAAAAAATGTCACTGCTTACATCTTTTTAATACCCACGCCACGCCACTGACCTATTCTAATAAATTGATGTGACAATACTCTTTTGAGAAGTTGAATAATATTTTGTTATAAAATAATATAATATTTCTATAGCATACTATATGGTATGCTATAAGCCTCAATGTATAATTGTAGGGATTTATGAAATCCAATATAGTATTTAGTAAAAAAGATAATTTAAAAAAAAAAATGTCCACTTCGCCCAAAAGATATTACACTTATATTACAAATTATAGATTAGAAACCAATATTACACACATTTATTTATATATTTATTAATAATTTATAATTTTCCATCAAATATCGAAAAAAATTGTTTTACTTTTCTTTATAGTCACCCCTCAACATTTACCAGGATGGGCTATGCCCTCCCAAACCGGCCAAACCACCCCTTAAATACGGCCCTGTAGGGTACCTACTAGTAGTTATATAAGCGTATAATAATATATTTAAGTGTTATTAGAGCGTTTTTTTGATAATTTAACTCAAAAACATGCTTTGATTTGGTATGAAAAATCACCTTAGGGCAGGCCACAGGGTAAAAACCAATTTTTGCATTAAGTACACACACATCTAATTTTTTTTTTGTATGTCCATAACATACATGAATATATTCCTTATTTAGTGTTAATTTATTGATTATAATATGTTATGTAGAATATATAATATTATAGATTATGACAAATGAATGGTACTCAACAACATTGATTTATTTATTTATTATGCATAATATGAGTATAATATGACAAAAATTGATTTGTAAGTCATACAATGTACAATGAATGGTGATAATGGTGTTGGTTGACCAGCTACTTAATTTGATTAAAATACAATACAGAGTATTACAATATTTTATTTTGGTAGATATAATATTAACTAACAAATTAGTCTTACCTTTGTAATTCAAATATGACAGTAATAACAGAGCCACACAATTTATGGTGTTGTATGATGATTTGTATATGTTATATTATGTGCTTAGATAAAATATTAATTTAAAGAAATATTGGTATTACACGATTACTATTATTATACCTCAGGGGCGACCAAACGTTTTTTGATTAAGATCTACTGAGGGTATATTTTTTTCTCTTAGGATTGACTTATCATTGTTTTATATTAACAATAAATAATAAGATAAAAGTTTAAAGTTATCTAAAATGACTATACATCCATCACGACTCTTCAAATTAAAATTGACAGTTAGCTAAGTAACACATCAGTTGCTGAAACACCAAAAACATAGGTAACTAAAATAAGTAATAGGTACTCAACTCAATAACTATATAAGAATATAGAGTATACACATTGAGTGTTATATCAAATTTTCAATGACACACTAACAACTGGCAGTCGATTTGCACTTAATATTTATAAATCGGGCGAGAATAAAAATAAACAAAATATTATCATATATGTAAATGTTATAATAACCAGAATAAGAATTATGTGCATAAAAGAATAAATGCTTTATAATTTAAATTAAACAAAAAAATAATTTTTTTCTACATACTAATGGCCATTTCTTAGGCTCTTGGGTATAATAAATAATAATTGACGTGTCCTCGTCTTACGATCTCAACATTTTGGCAGTTACCGTAGATATTGGTGTACGATCTTTAATTCTTCCTCGGTGAGGGATCGAAACAGATCATTAATAATCGGCTCGTCCAACTTCAAATAGTTCATTATATAGTCGAATTCGAGTTGGAGATTCGGATCAATCGGTGCCGGAGCGGTACCCGCTAACATGGCCGTTTCTTGAGCTAGATGTATTCGACGTTGTAAAATTTTTGCTCTTTTGCGAGCGGCCCGTTTTTTGGTCATCACTACTTCGGCAACGCGACTTTTGAGAACTTGTTGGATCTTGTCGCGATTGATCAATTCGCGCTCGTATCGTTCTATGATTTTAATAGTATCTTCCAGTTCGCGCACTGTCATGCTGCTAAACATTTTGCTTAGGATTTTCCGTTTAAGTACTATTGACAAAGGATCGCGGCGCTTTTCTTCACTCCGTCGGAAATGCGGCGATTCGGTAACCACGTGTCAACTCGAACCGATGATTTACAGGGGTTCGGGTCCGAGATGGAGGATGGATGCGAAACACGGACGAGAAAACAATAGCCGAGCGTGAAAAAGCGCAAAACACACTTCAGCTGTCAATATCGAAACACGGACAAGAAAATAATAGGTAGGTGAGTATAATAAAATTGTTATATTCTGTGATCTACCAAGGCGTATAACACTCTTAAACCGTCAATCGTGATAAAGAAAATAGGTATGTCGGCAACTTTGTGATACGCATATCCGCCATATTGCTTAATATTTTGAATTTTCTCCGTAATGTTTAAAACATAAGCACTGATAATAAAATTGACGGAGAAAAGCAATATGGCTGCCAACGCCATAGGAAACACTTAGGAATTAGTGGGGATGCGCCAACATAAACCAAAATTCGGAAAGTTGCCGACATACCTCTTTTCTTTATCAAGCATAGATATATTAAACACGTTTAACCCGTGTCCCGACCGAAACACGTTCGATTCCGCGCATCAGTACATATTTGACATACGCTAAAATATGGTACAAAGTGGGGAAATGCCTTCAGTCTGCTTGCGGGATTTTTCTCTCGTGGCACATCAGCTGCAATACTCTGTACTCGACGAGAGTGGCCGACGAAAATCGGTTCTTCCATGACACAATAAACTTTTGAAATATCTGCGCCTCCTAACGCGACAACCTAGTACCTACCCAAAAGTTGTAGACGAAAGTGTGGAAGTGAGGAACCGGTCTCGACCATATATAGACCTATTAGGGCCCGTTTTACGATCATAGTTTACCGGTTACGCTGATTTTGCCGGCCGAATTCGGCGGTTTAACCCAAGTTTAACTATTGTAATACTGGCCATAACTATAGGTTAATAGCACAGAATAGAGAAATGTTAATAGGTCGGTGGTCTAGGTGTCGGGTAGCAAGTTGTACATGCCAATGTCCATGCGTAGGATCCACGTGTATTCCCTCGCCTACCTTTAAATTGCGTTATACTATTTTGTATCTATTTCACATCATCAAATTATCATCACAGAATAATATAAAATTCTCATGAGGACGTGAAACCCGTATGCGTTGTCTCCGCCTTACAAATGTACAACATAGAAAAAAAGCTGTTTTGCGTGGGATAAAACCACTCGGCACTCCCTCGGTATTATAGTAGAATTACCAAAATTCCACAACTCGTAGGGAACAACTTCATCTGTGTCGTAGTGTTTTTATTTTTTTTTTTTATAGCATTTACCAATAATTTTTAACAATAAAATGAAAAAAACAACACAAAAATCGTATAATGTTCCCAAACTAATAACTTTAATTTTATTTATGTTATCCAAATAATAAAAACGCTACGACACAGATAAAGTTGTTCCCTACGCGTTGTGGAATTTTGTTAATTCTACTACGAATACCGAGGAAGTGGTTCTATTCCGCGCAAAACAGTTTTTTCATTTTTTGCTATGTTCTACTTTGTACATAGGTAGTACATTTGTAAGACGGAGACAACGCATGCGGGTACCACGTCCTCTTATTGCTATTTAGTATTTACTATGATATTAGTATATTACACGCACAGATATAAAATACATATAAAATTATATATCTGTGATTACTGATTACACGTCTCGTTATTGTATAATATTAGGATCTAAGAATACCACCATAATATTGTTATTAGTTCGTATTATTATTATACAATAACTAATACTCGCTGGCAATATTATCATTTATCAATGCTCCAATCTAATTTGAATTTATTATCCATCAGTCATCACTATTCACTAAACAATTATGACAGTTATAAATTATAATTTAATCTATTGACTATTCTTATTCTTATTTCTTATCTGACAAATGTTTCATGTTTCTTATTTAATAAATAATTGAGTGATTACTGATTACCATAAGTCATAGAGACATAGAGTAAAGAATATAATTAGTGACTGAAGTCATGCCATTTAGATATGACATTTATGTTGTCATGTGAGTAAGACGTAATATCATTGATTTTATAATACTATTATGGACTATGGTAATGCATTGTATTGAAGTCTGAAAATCCGTTTCCGGCAATAGTTTTTAATTTTTAACCATAATAGTATAATCGTGGTATGGCTTACTTATTTTGTATTTCTATGGTTAAACTTTAAGTTACACGACTACTACAGTGACTATTATTATAGCGAGTAAGTACGATATAATATTATTATTTTTTCGATCGTTATTTACCGTTGACGGTCAATTAAATAGGTGTTATGAATATATAATATTTAACATTCGGTTTGTAGCTCAATGTAAATAATTATAATCGTATTGTATGAACATAATTAATTGTATATATAATTGTAATTATTAGGTACCTACCTACCTAATTATGTAAAATTATAAAACCGTATTCTAGGTTTTGTATTATAAATAATAATTCATATTTCATAATATTGTACTACCTAGGTACCTGCACCAATATTATTATTCCAGACCTAGTTGAACAAAAATTTATCACAGTTCACAGTCTCATAGTGTCCTATATTTGATATTTCTGTAGTCCCGTCTTACATTTAATTAAGATTTAATTAATTAATTGTCAGTGTCGGTCTGACCATGGCCGCTAGGCTGGGAACATGTACGAGGCCTGCGGCAGTATTTGTGTTTGAGGGTCTCCAATAGTACTATAAATATTGGATATTGAATATTATTATATATACCATTATAATTTATTACCATTTTTAACCATTTTATCAAAACTTACTGTTATAAAGAAAATTAAATCTCATTAAAACATATTAAGTTGTTTAATATTATAAGGCATTCGTTTATATAATTTTATATTACAAGGTACATAGGTACTTTAAAAAAAAATAAAAATATTTTGCACTACTTATAAGCACTTTTTTTTATCATTTTATGAATTAACATTTTTGAATAAATGCATCTGATGCCCTTAAAGTACCAGGCCGACACTGATTATTGTATTATGTATACAATAACTAGTTAAAATTTGGATATTTATTTTGTAAAATTTTAAGAATTTACTTGAATAATTATATTCATCTAACTGACCAAAATGTACCTAAAGTGTAGGTACCTGTAAATATGTATAAGTATACCTACTATTTAGCTATATGGGCAGGGGTGGATTGGTGATATTTTGATGCTACCTCTGATATATAAATTTTAGCGACCCACAATACCTAATTTATATTAATTTTAGTATATTTTATTTTATTTTAATATCTTCCTAGGTACTTTTATGCACCATCAATTGTTTCATCACACATTTGATTTAAATAATAAAGTAAAAAATGCAATATCTACCAAACTACAAAGTTAAGTCATAAATTAGTTTAAAACGTATAATAATTCCATACTTAGATACAGCAATGCAGTGGCATCACTTCAGTTTGTTGAGAGGGGTGAGCAAAATTTTTGACCATAATAAAACTGAAAAAAAAGCACTCGCTAACAGTTGCATTTTTATCTTAATACAAAATTCTTACATAATTTTATTATATAGTTACTACTTACTAGTTAGTATCATAGGTTACTATCATAGGCATAAATAACCCATTTTTTTTGTAAGATAACAATGACTAAATAATTAATACATATGTAGAAGGATGCCTAAATATATTACCTATTGCTTAATATATCAAGGCTCAAAACTAGTTCATACCCGGCGCACTCATGACAAGGGGCCCACCCTGCCCCTGACGCCACTGCGCAATGCAATAATGAAAAACGTCTTATAAATAAATTAATATGACTACCTACTTGAAGATTTAATTTTAAAACATCTGTCCATGTGGGGCATTATATTTAGGTATACTTCATATTAATTTTTTGATAACTTCATTAGAATCATTATTATATTTTAATATTTTTTTTATCCAAAACCATAAACAAAAGCTTCTAAATTGTCTTCATTTTATACATTTTGCAACCAAGTTTTAATAACTCAAAATTGAAGTTGAGCTTTTGCAAGCCACTAAGGTAGTTAAAATAAAATAAATATTTAAGTCAGTGCGATATAAAATGTTCAAGAAATTTAAATAATTTTGTAAAGCTTCGAAGAAATCATAATATATTAAATGCAAATGTTAATTGTTGATTAATTAATTTAATTGAACACTCCATTAAAATATTAAAACAGCAAACAGCAGTTTTTACGTAGGTTTTCTTCATAAATATTCAAAATATTAATTGTCCATTTATTATTATTATGAATCGGGTATCTAATAAGCAGTGACAATTTTGGGAGAGAATTTATTAATGTCAGAAATTAAAAAATGTTTGTTTATTTAATATTGATTCTGTTTTGAATTTTATTTGTATACTTTAGTTTCAAATATTAATATAATTTATTATAGTCTGTTGTTTTTTGCTTTTATTTGATTTATCCTTTACCACTTCTATATATATTATTAGTGTGTTTTCTTGAGCAATTTTCAGTAGTAAATCAATAATAAATGGCTTGAACTCCAAAACAGATACATCGAACAAATAAGTAGGCAGTTCAATTCAGGAAAAACATATAAAACATAAAACATAAAAACATCAGAACCATAAATTTCAGATATTTAAGATTTGTTAATTTCTGTTCAGTCCAATGTTAACTACAAAAATCATCAGAACCGCTCCTCACAAAACTGCCTTGCCAAGCCACTAGCCTTAAGGTATATAAATATGTAACATTTTTGGCAATTGTTAGGTACACCCATGAAATAACAAATGAAGTAGACATACCATAGTTTATTTCATAATTACTATGATATTTTATTAGTTATCATTACTATTAGAGTTAGGATGTTGATGACTTTTGCATTTTTTTCCTTTTATTCTGTACAATGCTATCCTAGCTAAAAATTTGTTTCATGCTCCCTTGATTTAGAATATTCTAATTTTATTTTGCATTTTTTTGCATTTTTTAATGTCATTTTTCAACATTTTTAAGTCATTTTTTCATCTGGGCTTTTTGTACCTTTTATACAATGTGGGGCATTTTTCACAAATTATAGATTTTAGGGAAAATGTTACACCCAAGTTTGGAAACAAATTTAATTTATTTAAAATCTAAATTTGAATTTGGACTATTAGGAGAATGTCATTTTGAAGAATAATGGATTTAAAATTGTAACTAACATCTCTGAAATGCTAGATGGCCATATTAATTGTACAGTGCAACAACGCAATATGAATATTATTATAACATCAACATCCTAAAACTAATAATGAAAATATTTATAATATAATTTTTTTTTATTTATATTTTACTTTTTAATTTATTTTTAATATTAAAATTTATTTATAAATTATTTAAATGCTTCTACTATTACACCCATTATTATACCCATATCTCTAATAAAAATTATTATTTATAAATAAGTTTTTTCACTTACTTAATTAGTATTTTAGATAATTTTTAAGGTAATTTTTTGAAGTTTTTATGGCATTTTTGCACTTTTTTAGGGCCTTTATGCATTTTTTTTAGGGCATTTTTGTGTGTTTTTTAGGTCATCAACATCCTAACTCTAGTTATCATCATATAATTTAATTTTCTACTATAAATATAATATGTATCAATTTGTCGATGATGGATAAGATAAGATACATAGATAGTATTTAATGATCCCTATTATTCTGAACCTATAATTGTTATTAACGTCCTGTATGTGGTAATTATTGTAATGTACAATGGTAAAAATAATACAATAGTAAAACTAAACTTTCATAAACACAGAAATTTAATTAATTTTTTGATCGACTTACACAGCAATATTAACACCGTCACTTAAACCAGCTGTTCTTAACCTGTGGTCTTTGGCCCCCTGGGAGTCCTTGATACTCTTGTCAGGGGTCTACAGCAGCCCATATATAAGCAGCATACATGATACATCAATGCGTGACATGAGTACATTATTACAATAATGTTAGATCTGAACTACGATTAAAGCTTTTCAGTATTGAGTCCGATGTTCAAAAACTTGTGTCTCAAATGCAACACCAGCCATCACATTTAGTAAATAAAAATAAAATTCTGAGAACATTAAAAAGAAAAAAATGTATAGAACATTTTTATGAAAAATCAAGTGTAGTAATAATAATTATAAATGTGTATTTTTTGTTATGTCTACTTATGTAATTTGTAATATAAAATAATTATTTTAATTTTGGTTATGATATCATGATATGTTTTGTAAAAAAAAAAGTATTAAAAAAAAATAGATAGGGGTCCGCGATTTCTAAAAATCTTTCATCAGGGATCCGTGATCTACAAAAGATTAATAACCGCTGACTCAGGCCACAATCAACTGATTACAAAAATATCATCATTAGTTGCTAATATTTGCTCATTTCTTTGTAGTGACACATGCAATTTGAAAGTCTAATTTTAGAAATATTTTGTTGATTTATATTTATAGTATTTTTTTATACTGGCTTTAATTCCACAAATTACATATAATCAAATCCATGAATATGTAAGTAGTGGGCAAGATTAATTTTTAATTTTTAATAAGGATATTTATGTAATTATCTTAAATTTGTATAATCTCACCTTATAATTAATAAGAACGGTTGTCTCCTTTAAAATGTATTAAAATTTAATTTGTATAATAAGTTTCTTTAAATGCAATAAATATTATTATTATAAATGTGTTTATTTGAATATTTAAGTCTTAAAAATATTATAAATTTGTAAATATAAATAGAAAAAAATAAATTATTTTACATAACTGCTTTCTTTTTTTTGAATACAAATGCACAATATAATATTTTATTTCCTTGATTCTTAATCGAGAAAAGTATGGTAATTGAAATGAAAAAGTCTGAATTTTGAAAATTTCAAGAATTTGTGTTAAATAATAAAATAATAAAAATGTAACTCAGTAATGATGAGTAGGTGGGGGTAGCTTAGCTAGCTTTAATATAAAATATTAATGAGAGAGATTTTATATCATGCCCAAGCGGTGTAACCACTTGAATTCATAAAAACTTCGGCGTGAACAGTCCCAAAATTTCTATCTTTTAACTTTTCTCCTAAATTATGATGGCTAGAAAGTTGGTTGATAACTCATTAAAAAGAGATAATCAAGTAGATACTAAATGTGGTATTAAAATTAAAAAAAAATATATTTAATTATCGCTAGATTTTCATTTAGCAAGGTAGATTTCCGAATCTGGTGAACGGATTTTGTTGTTTGTGGTCTTTTTAGATTCACATTGGCTAGGAAAAGTGCAGTGAATATTTTCAGAACTTTATCTCCAATCATTAATTCACTACAAAGCTGTGAAGCTAAAAAACGTCAAAAAAAAGCCCAATATTTTTTTTAATGTTCTGTAGTGAATTAACTATTAAAGATAAAGTTCTGAAAATCTTCAATGCACTTCTCCTAACCAATGTGAATCGAACAAGACCCCAAACAACGAAATTCGCTCTCCTGTTTCTGAGATCTATCTCACTAAATGAAAATGAAAATGATTTTTTGTGGGGCTGTTCACACAGACATTTTTCTAGATTCAAATTGTTATACCGTTTGAGTGTGATATCAGTTAATACATTTCTAAAAATCAAAAATCAAGAAAGTTTACATCCCAATCCCTGACTTGGCAAGCTTTTGTGTTAAAGTTATAAATCAATTTAAATACTTATGTTAAAATTTGAATTTTGGTCAATTATTTTAATTTTTGACCACTATACAGCCGTTCTCAAGTGATGAGATTACCTACAAATAACATTTAATTTTAATGTATATGTAATAGATAATAAACGGCTAATAAGGAAACCATTTAGTAGAGTAATACAATGAATTGTGATTACAAGATTGAAGATATACATACCTAATGAAATGTAATATAATATTCGCTTTAAACAAGGTTACTTTAACAAATTATCGATTTTCAAAAGAATAATAAATTGATAGTAAATAGTTTTAAAATATTCATAATTCAATTTTTCTTAAAAAAAAAAAAGCATTGATTTTTATTTTGTTTAATTATTATTCTTGTCGTATTATACAACCATTTTAATCCTTCCAGTACATATAAATTAGCACTCGGCAACAATTACAATTTAAAAAAAATTGTTATATTTTTATAAATATCATATGGTTTTTAGAGTTTTTTTAAATTTTAATGGTTGCTGAGTGCCAAGGTAAATTGAAAGGTTAGCTATTACATAATAAGTATTAGTATTTACATATACTAGATAGTATACTTACTGTATAGACTATTTGATATACACATCAACTGTTATGGCTGCATATTAATAGTTTTAAATTAAATACTATATGTTAATTATCTCAAATAAATAATTACACAACTGTGTTACCTTTATATTTTATTTTATTTTTGTGTTTCAAACTATTAAACTTTTTTCTTAGAAAAATTATACAACGTTAAAATAAATAATGAAATAACTGAACCTCCGTCCCCCATACTATGTTTAAAATATAAACCTAACGAGAATTTGGAGATAAAATATTTTATTAAAAATGGTACCTTCAGTAAGATGATTATTAAAATAAGTAACATCTATTTAAAAATGTATAACATATAGTGTTGAAACATGAATATTTATCGACTACCTATATTTAATTTGTCATTGTAGCCGCATTGACACCTTTATAATTGTTTTTAAATTTTGATATGAACCTTTTAATATCTATACAGGAGCATATTGTTTCATACATTTCTAATAACCAATGAGAAATGAAAAAAGACTTTTATAATTTAAACTTAAAATAAATCAATCAAAAAATTAATTAGTTACAGATTTTTCATGTAGGCATAAATGTTATAGTATCTACTGATTTATATTCACAATGTATGCCTGAACTATAGTTTATAAATTCTATTTTACAGAAGTAATAATTCTAATTATTGCAAATAACTGTAGCCACTCTCATAATATTATATTATATATGATATATCTAGTGTCAATAAATTCGCCTGGATAAATTTATTATTTTAATTATCCACTTGAAGTATCGTTAGATAACGATAAACCAGTCAAAAATATATTCTGAAATTATTGAAAATTGTTCATAAAAAATTAATTAGGATTAAATAAATAATTTGAAAACATGTACCATGTGATTATAATAATAATGTATGTATATTGAAAAAAACACAGATTTTTTACCACAAAAAATACTTATTTTACCAGCCTAAAGACGCAGCCTTTAATTTCGGCATTCTAGCTTTTTACTTCTACGATTTTGCATTACGACATTGCAAATCAAGCCAAAATAAAAAAAATTACCGGTTAAAACAAGTATTAATCCGATCGGTCATCGGTGTTCAGTATAATATTCAATATCCATATAAGATGTCCGAGCTTCTGTCGGAAATTTATAATTTCTCGTTGGATTGCTTGTCAGGTTCTGGACAACCGTGAATCAGACAAACATTTGCGTCACCCACATCAGTATCGTTGTCATTTTCCAAAGAAGATTTGTTTGCGATTTTCCGATAAATTCTCTTCGTAATTTCTGTTACTAACTCTTCTTCAGTTATTCTCCGTGAATGTGAGGTGTTTTGAATTCCCAAAGTATCCTTTTTTACATCTTTTGAAAGTTCTTGTTGAGAGGATCTTGGATTATCTGCCATCATTTTTCACTTTTGATTGTTTTTTAATTTATGTACTTCGTATTTTTCTACTCCCGATGGGAAATTTAGAATTGTATAATACAATTATACTACAAAAACCAAGACAGACAATAGCGTCACTTGTTGCGTCATCTGCACAGACCGTAGGATATAATTCGACCATCATTTTTTACTGCGTACGTTTCCAAACCGGTTTGGTTCGAAGATAATAATATATAAATTTCATGGCGTACAGTGTATCAGGGATTTAGAATTCAAACTTCTGACTTCTGTACCGACCACACAAAAGTGTCCACATGTAAAAATCGACCAATGAGAGCAAGTGGTATCCTTTATTATATATAAACAATACATTTTTGTCAACAAGTATTATTTATCAATTTCGATGTTTATACCTAATGTCACACATACCATAGGACAATGTATAAATGACACTCGACCAGCTGATCGGACCTGTTGGCTGTTTCCCTCTAAGTTACAATAGGTATTATATTTAAATTAAAAAACTAAATACTGCATTGGCACTTAGCAGGTATTGGACTACTGTAATTTATTTTATATTTGAATATAATTATTGAATAATATTTTATTCTGTGATAATGCTGATATCACGACGTAAAGAAAAAAATAGGGAAATCTCTTTACAGATAATAAGGGTAGTTAATACACCCCGTTTTTAATGTAGATGCCTACCACTAGGTAGCCCCACAATAATCGAATTCCGGATTTTTTACAGTGCCGCAACAATAGGTGAAGCAAGGTATACACTGCATTCCCCTTGGGGGGCCATAATTGTTGTCTCACATTAAGGGGCTACCAACGGTTAATTACGGCACTAACTTTTTTCATTATATGTATTGGAGTACAAGTACAGGCCACACGGGCCAGTGGCTGATCCAGGGCTTAATTTGGGGAGGATGTAAAAAAGTACTAAAATTGGGCCAAATACGGTATAAAGCAAAGGGGAAACGCCCCCTTTGTCCATCCTCCGGATCCGCCACTGACTCAGGCCCCATAACATTTTTGGCATCAGAGTCCCACAAAACCTAGTTGCGGCACTGATTGTTTAACGATAATTTTTAGTGCGTTTGGTAACCAATAAATATACAACATTTATATTATAATCCATAGGTATAACTAATTTTGAAATCTTCCCCACCCCTCAGATAATAGACTTATCACCTAACTGGGTTGATATAAAATTGTCAGCATATTATATTGCATTTTATGGTTGGTTGATAAAACCTTATTTTTGTGAAAGATATATTTTTATTCTAGTAACATTTCTTACAAATAGCTAGTTCAATAAGAAATAGAATTCAAGGATAAATCATTGTGTACGAAAACGATTCTGACCAGTAGTCGGAGACTGTGTGTGTCAGTCCATCATACTTGTAAAATAATCAATCGAAAGTACTCCAATAATTTTTTTTTGTTAAAAAAGTAGAAAAACTAATGAGAGATCTTATTTTAAACTTTCAAATGTTAGCTATGAAAATAATTGTTTTTATGAATTTCATACTGAACAATAATTTGCACATTTTCGGGATTTTGATGAATTTTGTCAAACATTGAATTTTAATTGCATATAAAAAATTATTATACCTATCTTCAATATTTTTGAACTTTTATTAAAATAATATATACGATGAACCCTGCATTAAATTTTTAAGCTTTTTTACCAAGTGAAAAAGATTTATCGACAATAATTTAAAACAATTTATAATTCTTGATATTTAAAGTTAGCCAAATTCCCAACTACATTAACCCAAATACACGAGACTTTCAATATGTAAATTCATTTTCTCAACAGTTCGTAATTTACAAGCTTTATGGCGTTTAAATACAATATTTTATAATACAGTACTTTCAAAAGTTGCCCAAAATTATTTTATTAACTTTTTACTATTCATGGTGTGCTAAATAATGATTATATCCCGCTTGTTTATTTTTTACTGCCATCAAAGTCAACTAATTGTTATACTGATGTATTTCAACATTTATGCCTAGAAAAATGTAGAAAATATGATAATATGCAATATGCAACTCAATCCAGTTCAAATGTATGTTGATTTTGAAAAGCTTTTATATTATACTGCTACAGATATTTTCTGGCCTTCTATTCAACTATTCAAGTAAAGGGATATGGATTCCATCGAGGAATAAGTTTATATACTTTCATATATAAAAAAAGCGGATTAGTGGATGTCTCTCTGCTGTACAGTAGGTTACAAGTGGGTCAATGTATAATGGATTATATTAAACTTGAATTCAATGATATAATATCATTGTATAAGAAAAACGTTTCTGAGCGGAGATGGCGTTTATCAGTCTGGATTTTTTTAAATTTTTTTTTTTATTATTATAGCCTTTAAGTTTAATTGATATTAGGTATAATATTATCATTTATTATTTGTTGCTACGGTGATACACAAATCGTTAGAAATCAAAATCCCATTTTAAGTGGTTTTTCGTAATTTGTCAGTAGTTTTTCCCGTGACATCAAATAACTATCGAGGAAATCGAAAAATTACCTGTCTAAGTACCATCTTGATCCAATTTGCTAAAAGATAAGGTACTATTATGTTGAAATCGAAGCACTCTTTCTGGTAGACATTTTGTATACAGAATATAAAAAAATAAAATAAAATAAAATAAACACCATTGTAAAACCACTAGCTCCGCTCAGAATCTAAAATTACACGGAATTTTCACCAGTAATATGTGCAGAATGTTTATCATATTATTTACGACAAACAATTGCGAACCTTTCCATAGGAAATTAAATAATCTTTTAATTCTTCTTACCCTAATGTTTTGGTTTTAGAGATACTTCAAAAAAATATACAAAGTGAATTAATTGGCGGGGGCTTGAGGGGTCCCCTCCGCCCAAAGTCCGTTACGCTCCCTCCTTTTTCAGTTTTGGAGGATCTATTTTTTAAAACTACATGGTGAAGACATTATATGGAAATAAAATTACAAGATGCTTATGATTGAGTATTAGAATTCATAGACTACCTATATAAATATACTAGCTTATCCCGTCCACTTTGTTGCCTGGCAACCAATAATTATAATTATAATAGCCTCAAAACCCATGGTAACCATGGAAACCAAACACACACACAGCCGGAAATCTCTAAATAATATATAAATGGTTGCCATGGCCCATGGTAATATGGGCACACAGACAGACATACATTAATTTGTATGCATATAGAAAATATAATTATATATAAAAAGTTACGCTGACTTTCCACCAGTAAAATGTGCAGAATATTTATCATTGACAAACAATTGCGAACCTTTACATAGAAAATTAAATAATTAATTTGATTCTTCTTACCCAAATATTTTTATAGTTGTATAGATACTTTCAAAAATATACAAAGTGAATTCATTGTCGGGGGGGGGGGCTTCAGGGGGCTTGGTGAATTTAATGCAAGAATGCATATTATAACTTGCTGATGTGTTATTAACACACGCTCATTACTCATTAACATTTATAACTACTTTAGGTATAATGTAAATAAAACTGTAGGTATTTGGTTCAAGTAAGAGGTCAAATGCCAATGTACAATTTAAATTAAAACATTTAAATTCATATTTTACTATTATATTGTTTTTATTGATTTATTTAAGATATATATTTTACTTATATTATTTCCATTAATTCAAAATAGTTATTTAAATTTTCCAGTTATCCTTATCCACTAAAAAAAAAAATATATATTACAGAAATAATTTTTGTGTAAGCATTTAAAAATAATATATGTTCAGTCCCCACGAACCATTTACTCTCACACAAGCTCACTGACATAAATAATTTATGCCTAGAAAAATGTAGAAAATATGATAATATGCAATATGCAACTCAATCCAGTTCAAATGTATGTTTATTTTGAAAAGGTTTTATATTATACTGCTGCAAATATTTTCTGGCCTTCTATTCAAGTAAAGAGATATAGATTCCATCTAGGAATAAGTTTATATACTATCATATTATATAAAAAAAATTACGCTGACTTTCCACCAGTAATATATGTGCAGAATGTTTATCATCGACAAACAATTGCGAAATTAAAGGAAATTAAATAATTCATTTAATTCTTCTTACCCGAATATTTTTATAGTTTTATAGATACTTTAAAAAATATACAAAGTGAATTCATTGGTGGGTTGGCTTGAGGGGGTCTTACTCTTCCCCCCAAAAGTCCGTCAAGCCCTCTCCTTTTTCAGTTTTGTAGGAATGAAGCCCCTCTGCTCTCATTGTTAGCCCCCCCCTGATATTTGAATGGATTTTCGCCTATGAATGGAATACTTATATTATACCGTTACGAATTCAGGGCTCGAGAAACAGAAATACAGAATAACAATTGAAAAAGAAGAATATATTAAAATATAATGGAATAACTAAAAACCAAAAAAATAAATCAAACTGAATTTGTGAGGCAATTGTCATTTAAATTTGTACCTGCATTAATATAGACTTATAAGTTAATAATTAATAAAGGACAACGTTGGTACAGAAAATACAACTAAGGCTTAGTATACCCACCAATAAAAATATCAAATTTAAATAATTAATTATTAATATAAAATTACGTGTACAAAATTTATTTTTTCTTTATTAATTTTAAATATTTTTATATAAGTATAAATACTTTTTAGAAATTATTTTTCAGGTGATGTTGTGCAGTTCTTAATGTTTTCAACAACTGCAAAAATAAGTAAAATATAATTTTGTAAGTTTTATTGAATTCATAAATAATGTAAATTATAAGTAATTGTTTGTATCAGTACATATTTAGTTTAAATAGTAGTCTAGTTAATTTAATGATTAGGTATCTAAAAATTAAGAACTATTGTTATACCTATACTATTAGAAAATGTATTTATTTAGAAGTAATGGTTACCTTTAATAATGTTGATCTTTGATTATGGATAAATTCTGATGGAATAGCTCCTAATTTAAGTTTAGAATAGCCAAATGAACTTTTTTC